TGTAAACATTAATTAATGTTAACTTAAACACATACTTCCATAATAATATTCATCAAACGTCTTCACCCAGCCGGCATCCATGTGAGAATGTGGGATTAAATGAACATTCAGAGCTCCGTCTCTTGTTTGAGGACATTGCTGGAACAATCGATGTAATACACTGGTACTTATTATCAGAAATATAGAAAAACTGCGATAAAAAAACCGACTTCAAAAAAACAAAAACTAATAACAAACAAAAAGTAAAAACTAAAGAGGAAAAAATAACTATTATTAGTACCGATAGGTTAGAAGTAGGCGCCATAAATTTTATACAAAATTATGCATTAAAACCAGAATAGATACCTAATTTACAATTTTGTGGCCATTAAGTTACATCATTATGATATGAGCTTATTCTAAATTTTCCCTCGGTTTCCCAAGGATTCCATCATTAGATCCTGACCTCATGGAAATGGGACCATTTCGGGAGTATACTATATACCCTTTCAAACAAAACAAGAATTTTGGAAATCGGTTTACAAATGGCAGAGTAATCGGTGAACAAACAAACAAAAAAAAAACAATCAGCCGAACATAGTACCTCTTCCTTTTTTTGAAGTCGGTAAATAGCCTTTTATTACGCCACGTAAACAAGAATACACAGGTACACACGGCCGCATATCAATCTATACAAAACCAGTTTATCCTGGTGTCGCGTCGCATCATATTTCCGCACATTTAACGTTCAGTTTATACTGGTTATGTAAAGCTCGATGTGTACCCGTGTTATGCACAGAAAAAGCCCATGGTGTCGCAGCACAAAAGACCTGGAGCTCAGCTTAACACTGTCGCCCGGGCACGAAGGCTCGTCCACGGCGTCTGATTATATCACATTTATCTAATATTTAAAAGACACAGTTAACGCAATAGTTAGGTGACCGACATTTAACTGCACGGTTGGCGCGGTAGCTGAGCAACTAGCTGCCGTGCAACGTGTAGCGTTCGATTCCCGCACGGAGCAACTCTTTGTGTGATCCACAAATTGTTGTTCCTGGTCTGGGTGTCATGTGTATGTGAACTCGTATGTTTGTAAACGCACTCACAACATAGGAAAAACTCTTAATGTGGGGCAGGGTTAAAAAAAAAGATCCATCTATTTCTTACACAGGCCTTTCGAAGATAAATATTACTTTCTCTCTGCATCACCCAAGGGTCAGACTGGTAGAAAATGCTTGCGGCATTAACTCCACCCTTGTGCTTGTTTATTTGCGCGACAAAATTCGAAATATGGAATTCACCAAAGAACTGGAGTTACCGACATAGCTCGCAAAATCTGCAGACTGAAGTGGCAATGGGGAGGCCACGTCGCTCGACGGACTGAAGGAAGATGGGCCAGGAAAGTTCTTGAGTGGATACCACGGACCGGTAAACTAAGCGTGGGCAGGCCTCCCGCTAGGTGGACCGACGACATCGCCAGAGTTGCGGGGAGCCAGTGGATACAGGTGGCAAGTTGTCGTTCGACATGGAGGATTAAGGGGGAGGCCTTTGCCCAGCAGTGGACGTCTTTCGGCTGTTGATGGTGATGATAATGCATGGCTGCATCCAGCGGCTTCTAATTCGGTCGCCTGGAAGTGACCTGCATCCAACAGCTTACAATTCAGCCGGGTGATAACGACCTATATCCATCAGTTTCCAACATTCCTTTAAATCTATTTTAATAATACAAAATACATACCTTATACCCACATTCAATCTTATTTTTCACTGCTAAAATATTTTTTGAACTTAATAATACGATAAAAATTACACAATAAATTTTAATCATTACTATTATTTACAAAAAAGTCGTACTATTAAAATTATATATTTAAAACAAAGCGCATTCTCGAAATTCAAATTACGAACGTCGTATGATTAAATGGAAATAGATTTTTATTGTCGTATTATTAGAACTTTTTGGAGTTTTTTCGTATTTATTGTTGAAAAAGTGTTAAGAGTTTTAGTTTTTTTTCTTTGTTTAAATGGTTAACGTAACCGGTGTTTGTAGTAGAGTAACTCGGTAACTGGACACAAACTGTGGTATTGAGTAAAGTGTTTGAAAACGTTGAAATCTGAGGTTGTTGACACTAAGACCATTGTTCACACTGATTACTACTTTCTTGACCTACACATATAAGATCAAAGTTTATTCTTAGCAAAAGTAGATGGATATATATTTGCTCCGTTCTACTTAGTGCCTTTTGCCGTGTGAGTAAAAAAATCGCCGCCCATGGATACCTAATACACCAAGGCGTTACAAGTGAGTTACCGGTCTTTTGGGAATTGGGAGTTTCAGGATTGTGAAGGATTCGGGGATCAGGGAGACTGGATATGGGGTATAAATTGGGCCTTAAGTAACCTCACTCACACGACGAAACACAACGCAAGCGTTGTTTCACGTCTGTGATCTGCTCGGCCGTGGTATCAGTCCGGTCGAGCCGGAGCCGGCCGATTCGTGCCGAAGCTTCGCTCTCCCACACTTAAAATTGAGATTGGCGCGTAACAAACAAACTCATGTTATATTTTTATAAGAGGGTACCCGACAGGTTTCGAGCGACAACGGGGCGCTTAAGTATGAATTTCATACGTGGTGACTTCAAAAACAGGGGGGTTGAAGTCGGTTTTGTTTTTAATTATTTTATAAAATTTCATTCATTTCTTGATAAATATTTTTTTTCAGATTCTTTTTTAATAATTGGTAACGTATGTCGTTGCTATTAAAGGTCATATACCACATTTTAAAAGCAGGGCTCTGACGAAATGCAATCTTTTAACGATGGTTGACGAGGTTGGAGATGGTCTGTGCCAACTGGCAAACGGATCTGCAAAAAAATAGTAAAAACCAAATTCGTGAGTTTTTTTGTAACTTATTTAGTTTTTTTTTGTAAATCTGAATAAAAGGCTTTATTATTATTATATATACCGACGATGCGACGTTGTTGCGCCGGCGCCTGGTGGGCGGCTCGTCATCAACTCGCCGCCGACGCCGTACCGACGCCGCGCTCTCGGCGCGTGAAACGTAATACCAGGTCTACTTCAGAACCTTCTTTTTTCTATTTGAAATCGATTTTTTTTAAGTGGGGAATATTATCGAATCACTACTCCCGCCTGGGTGAGGCGGGAGGGAGTGTCAGACTCTTACTGACTAAAAAACACCCCGTTCCTTCTCCTGCACGTCGAGCCGGAGCCCCGGTTACCCGTTAGGTTCTCCGCGACTTCGAATCGGCATCGGCCCTATTGGGCCCCATCGGTGGTGGTCTGATGGCTCTTTAGGCGCGCGCGGAACGCGACGTGCCGCACGCTCGGGATTTGAAATCGATTAAAAATGCAATTTACTTACAAAGGTAACTAAATTGCACTTTTAATTACTAAAATGAGAGCATTTTGTTGCAAAAGGAATATTTGTTATAAAGTTATAAAGAGTTCGATAAAATGAAAAAAGCGCTAGTCGCACCGTTTATTTGCTCTTAAGTGTAGTTAGAACGCTAAATAAAACCTTATCTATCTTCATTCATGATCACACATTATGAACGCTCCCTACACCTTTCCAATACTCGGTGTCAGGTTATCAAAATATGTTCCGTATAAGCCAAACATTGACTTTCACGAGAATGTTTATAAATCCATGAGCTGTCCAGTACAGAGCATCTTCTGCCGCTATCATCATCGTCATAACATTCGACAGCCACTAGACGTGTATTGCTTTACATTGTGCTTTTTTTTTGAGGAGGATAATCATCCAATGCTTTCTCCAGCCCGGGTGAGGCGAGAGGGAGTGTCGGACTCTTACTGACTAAAAACCACCTCCCTGCTCTTGTACTTCGTGCCGGAGCCCCGGAAATACGTTAAGTCCGCCGCGGCTATGTATCGGTATCAGCCCTATTAGTCCCATCTGTGGTAGTCTTATAGCTCATTGAGGCCCGCGCTTACGGTGGCCGGAGATCGTCCCGCGATCCCCGACGCCCGGTGTGTCCTTCGCGATGGCTAGCATAACTGCTTCGCAAAAGGAGGAGACGGCATCCGCATCATGACCTGCACTAGGCCCGGACGCGAGAGGTCGCCATCGCCGATCACTTCCCTGAGGGTACGGTGGTGCTCAGCCCACGCAGGGCGGTCCTCGCAGTGATGACACCCGGGCATTTCCTCCCGCCTCATCAGACACAGGTACCTCCCGAAATTTCCATGTCCGGTGAGGACCTGCGTCAGGCGGTAGGTGAGGACGCCGTAGCGTCTCTCAAGCCACTTCTCAAAGAGGGGCCTTACCGCTGCGATGGCAGCGAGCCTACAACACGAGGAATAGGAGATGCAATCATGTTACAAAATGTATCACAGACACGAAACTCATAACCTCGCATCCCGCTAGAACTCAACTTAAATAATAATTAATATGCAACTGTGACGTCATAAAACTACTGGTTTGACCTGATTTGACCTCGATTTCGAAACTATAGTTACAAGTACATACATAACAATATTTTAACAATTCGGAAATGTGATTATTATTTGAGCTATACACTACTTCCGTATCCGCTGTTTAACGGTATTTTGACAAATTTATTGTTGAGACTAGTTCCGTCTTATGGTTTTTGTTGTATTTTCCGTGTTAGGCTAGACTTGCTAGACTGAGTATAGATTTTTTTAGGTAGGATGCGAATGAGTAGACGGATCGTCTGATGGTGAGCAATCGGCGATGCTCATGGACCCCGCAAAATGAAACTAATTACAAATGCGTTGCCGTTGCGCTTGTTGTAGGATCCAAGACAGTTTTTTATGTCCCTGGAACGCGCCGGACAGCAGTGTTCTGGTGTTTTCAAGGTTGTATCTACTGTAGATCCTGGTGCACAGGAGTTGCAGCGGTTTTAGGAAGTTGTGGCGAGTTTGTCCAATGATAAGAAAAGTGTGTTGACGGCCTTTTGGGGGAAGGGGACGAGCCCCTTGGTAACGTCACAACGCCAGCCGGTTTCACGAGTTTCTGTGAGGCCGTGGTATCACTCCAGCCGCGCCAACCCATTTATGCGGAAACATGAGTCTGGCCCACGTAACCAATTATGGATGGAAAG